GGGGGTGGGGTGGGTGCTGTTCTTAATTTTTGCTTTAGTTTGGGGTATTTGTGGAGGAGGAGAAAGATGGAGAAAGGAAAAGCTCTTGGGTTTATGAGGACAAAATCAGCCAGACGTCCATTTTGAGAGACTTTGGTCTGCTTCACTCAGGGACAAATTTATGGAACTGATCCATGGTCTTAACTGCAGTATGGAATGCTTTTTAAATGAAGATGAGGCTCAACAATTTTTTTTCATTTTATTTTTCGAAGCCTTGTTTAACTGCTCTCTCTTACAGCAAATAACACTAACAGCATGTGAATGCTTTAAGGGCTAAGGGTGTAGCAAATCTGCATGATATCCACAGCCACTTGCTCTTACTACGGGGAAAAATATTGAAAGGTCATTGTAATTCTGCTGCAGTAATGGGCTTCACTTGTGTTCTGTAATTAATTGGGGGAAATGATTTACAGGTATTCTTAAGTATATATTAGGAGACTGGTATCTAATATTTTGTTGCAGATGCCTAGCAGTGATGGTCAGGATCTCTTGGCATTACAGAAAGCCATTCATCCTTCTAATCACCAGAGCAGCAGGCAGAAGGATTGGCATCCTGAGAAGATGACAGAAATCCAGCCTCATGTAAGTGGCATTATCAGTTGCCTGTATTTTAACATCACTGAGGTATCTTGACAGCTCTTTCTCTGGTGAATAGAAAAATTGCATTTGACATTATTTCCCAACCTTCCCATTCCCCACTCGCTGGAGGTAGAAAGCTGTATGCCCACAGTCCTGCATAATGCTTTGAAAATCTAGACATGAATGACAAGGAAAAGAGAGACTAAATGTCCCCATGTCGGTCTTTGAAGCCTATCAAAATATTGGTTATGTTTTTGCATTAGAGGCAAGCAACTCTTCAGTGCATGTCTGCGGTAGCTGTGCAGTGCTGTAGAAAAGCCTTCCAGTTAGCTCTGCAAGGAATGGTGAATCCTGAGGGCATGCTGCTACTTGACATCATCTGATACTTGGTGGGGTCACCAGAGCATGATGGCCACATTACAGGGTGGTTGTGCCTCAGCTGGCTCAGACTGCGGTGTAAGCAGACTACATTATTGGAGCATAGCACTGCACTAATGCCCCTTTATTTTCTCCAGTTCTAAAACCAGCTTGGGGGGCAGGGTTTAGGAGGGAGCTTCAGTGCCATGCTCTGTTGCTGTTACAACACTGAAAACGGAAGAGGGTTCATTGCAGCTGCAGTCTTTGAAGAAGCAAGTTGCTCTGTGAGCTGTGGATTTTAATGAGGCTGTTTTCATACCACTTTGTGTACTCAGGCTTCCCCAGGTTTTTGCTGCCCATTTCAGTAACCCCATGTCTCCATTTGCCTTCAGCCTGCTCACCAGTTAAACAAGCTGTGAGGGACTAGAGCAGCTTATCACCCAGCTGCCAGCAAACAAAATATCTAACTGCTGAGTTCTGCCAGCCCGTATTTCAGTGCAGATGATTGTTCAAGACTCTCTCTAACCCCTAATTGATGTTCACAAAATTTTGGGAATTTTTTATTTCTGATATCTGTGCCTCATAAAATATGGCTGGAGTTCTAAAGTTAATAGCAGGAGGAGTGACAAATGGACAACTAATGCAATTGTCTATTCCTCTGTTTTCATAGGAAACAAGGTTAAAATAATTGATGGGAACTTTTTTTTTTTTCTGATCTAGAAAAGGTTCTACCTTTTCAGGTAGCTAATAGATTGAATCATAATGAGAAGACATTTTCTCAGGTGTGTTGTCATAGCTTGGAATGAAATATTGCAAATGAATACAGATTGACTGTGAAGTTCAAGATGTTCAGTTTAGGATACAACAGTTTTGTTATGGAAGTCTGATATGATGGAGAGCAGAAGGTCAGGTGTTTCTTCTGTGTGTCTTTCAGAGCCAGCCGTTAAAATCTCTTCGAAAGCTCTTACACCTCTCGTCTTCAAATCATCCTGTCCCTGCCGAGCCTCGCTTCCAGCCCTTACCAAGTCAGCCAGCCAAAGCTTCTTTCTCTGAAGTGCGGATTCACCCCATGAGTCAAAGCTCCAGCAGTGGCAGCAGCAACGTGCGGCAAGAGCCTCAGCCGAAAAGCAGGCCGACGCTGCAGATACCAAGCCAGCTGGAACCTACCTGGCACGTCTCCCCGGTAAACAGGAGCGCGAGCGATGGGCCTCCCTACTCCGACCAGCTGCCTTCCAAGAGCGGACAGAACGGGCACACGTATAACCGAACAAACCGATCGCGAATGCCAAATCTGAATGATTTAAAAGAGACAGCCTTGTAATTGCACTCCAGCAAATAGGCCAGTTCAGGTGGAGGTCAGTGTAGGGGGGGGGGTGGTTCTGGTGATGGTAAAACTGCATTATCAGCTTTATAAAGGTGTGCAATATGTACATGTGGAGCTATGCCATTTGGCACCACAGTGAGAGTCAGGGATTATACAGTAAAACAAGTTGAATTAGGAATTACCAGTCATCAGAAATGTTGCTGGATGCCAGGCAGAGTGTGCCGGTCAGGGAGAAAAATGCATTGCCATTTTCTCTCATTTACATTCCAGCTTAGTGCACATATCTGTCTGAAAGCTGGGAGACTTCTGGTATGTATTGGCACTTATAAGGGTGAAAACATTCATGTCTAGACCTATGCCCTTACTACATTTTTTGCTGCCTAGTTAAAACAGTGGGGTTTATGTGATAGAAGTGTATCCCTGTTAAGGGTTTAAAGTTAAATTGTATGTCTTAAATTTGTTTTTTAAACTTCCATATTTGATAGGATTTGTAATATTTATTTATGATGACCTAATATCGTACTGTTATAATCATATCTTTTATGTTATAATGTAAAGTTATTTTGAGCTGTTTGAAACATTGTGAAGCAGTGCAACAGCTACAGTAGTTTCTATAAAAAACTAACAGTAACATTTATATATTGCATCAGGAGTATTTTATTCTATATATAAATATATATATAAATGGAAAATAACTGTCTGTTTTTTAAATATACTCATTTAAAAGAAAAGTATTGTTATGACACTATCTGCCATATTTTTATACATTTGTGATATAAAGTGCAGTATTATACTTCTAATAAAAGGAAGTTGAATGTGGATATAAACGTGACTGTAACAGTATGAATCTTGCTCAGCTATGAGAGCCCGGTATTATAGGCATTATTGGTAACAAACAAAAGACAACATTCAATTCCAAACTTTATTATGGGCTACTTTGTTGGAAGTATTGGCTAAATGTAAGAGACTGCAGAACTGTACAGTAATCTAAATGTGGTATGTTCTCCCCTGTGTCCTTAGCTTTCCTAGTAATATTAATGGGATTTCTGCATCTGCATCAAGAGCACAGAGCCCCAGTACCAAATTTTTGTTTCCTCTAAAGAGATAAAGTGCCCCATGACTACAAGCTAAAGCAGGTGCTCTTCCACTTAATAGCAGGGGTGAAAACCAAAGAAACATAGCATGAATTGCAAGTGAAATGCCAAACTTTGACACTTACGCATAGCATGGCACTGCAGATCATGGTATAAGCTTTTATGCATATGTGTATTTTACATCTTGTTTAGCAATCTATTAACTAATAAGATAAACACTGTATTTAAATTTAAACTACTCTTGCACTTTTTCTTATATTTCAGGATGTATTTAAAGCTACAAATCTGATATTTGGATAGTGAGGGAGAAGGTTGCCATGCAGCTTAATTTCTCCTTAGGTCTTACTATCCGAATATTCCTGTACACAGTTCGGTTACCAGTCTCAGCAAAATACTAGATCTTAGGTTCCAGTCTCCTGTACAACATTGTTAAAACTGCCTTTACGTTGGTGAATGTCGAGTGTAGCAAATACACAACCTGATTCCTTTGTTGCTACCAGTAAACTAAATCAAAGGTGAGCCAGTAGGAGTCAAAAGAGTTATGCCAGTCTAAACTTTGTGCAATAAGAGGAGAGTCAGGCCTGTAGTGTCAGAACAATACAATATTTCCTTTTTAAACACCTTAGTTCAACTCCCTTATTATTCTGCAGCATACTTCGTTTTCTAGATGCTGTCCTCAGAAGACACTTGTACTTGCAAACATGTTGTCTTTTCCCAAAAGAGATTAACCGGAATGTAAATTTGATGATTTAGCCATAGTTAACAGAAGCAGACAGGCAGTAAGAGCTGAACTTCCTACTTGGATAACAATGCAAACTGGACATGCTGTTCAGTGCCTCTCGAGTCGTACCAAAGTTCTAACAATGGCAAATTTGGCACCACTACCCTAAAAATCTTTGTCAGAAGGTACAGTATGGAAGGATGTTACATTAGGTTTGTCCAGGGCTAAAAATTACAAAATAAGAATTCTTTCTTTGTCAGTTACCTGCAAGAAATGTGCATGTGGTTTTCTACAGATACATATGATGTCTAGATATATATGATATATACTGTGCTGATATATCATATATATAGCATATATAAATAGAGTAGACATGAAAGGGTATTCAGTTTTTGGTAAGTTCAGCAGGCATCCAGGAAAGACATTGTGGTATTTCCTATCATCACTGTTAGCGTTTAGCAGCATATTTTAGCAATCTCTTTTGGATTCACCAGTTGGTCACAGCTAGGTTAGTCCTGTTAGTCCTGCTTTGGAGTGGGCTGATGCCACTAAAATCCCTCACAAAAGCAGTGTCTGAGAGTGGGGCTCTAAGCAGTACAGTTTGAATGGCTCTGAGGGAGCATTCAGATTAGACTCTTCTGTACTTTGTGGATATGTAACCTTTTGCCTCTGCAAGACTTTTAGCCTGCTGGTAAGAGCTTCATGCTGGGAATGATGATTCTGGGCTGTATGTGGCTGTTATGACTTCTAGCAAGGAAAAATGTTTCCAAAGTATATTTTTTTTTCACAGTACCCATTAAGTTAAATCAGGGTAATCTCTGACTGTACATATAGCTGTTTAAAGTAGTTAGCAAAGCTTCAAGGGTGACCCAAGGAATGTTCAAGTATTTGGTGGCCCGTATTTACAGAAAGTTGTTTCTACATACTGCATTTTCTTCCCAAATTCAACAAACTGTAGTAGATTTGAGTTGAATACTAAATTGTGTTGAATGTATGTTGTATTTTCTTCCTTCTGTTGGAAAGAAATTCCAGCAGCTTGGCCAGCTGGTGCTGGGATAAATTGTGTCTTTTTAACCTGGCCTAACTTCCCAATATGTAGAATATTGCTAATGTAATTTTGCTGAGGCTTCCAAAGGAGTCTTATAGTGACTGAGATTTGCTGGCTCAATAAAGGGGAAGAGATTTACAGAGCAAATTATTTTGTAAGTGTGAGCTTTCCTCTTCACTGGTCTGTGGGTCTTGTGCTACATGTTCTGTATATTTACTTAGTATATAGTATCTTAGTTAAACTGCATTTTATTCTTCAGCAATCTGTTTTGCCTTATGGCATCATTAATGATGTGAATAGAAAAGAAACTAAGTTTCAGAAATTAATTATAATCATGTTGCAGAACTCAAGCTGCCTAAAGTTGTCTGTGTTTTTACTATAGCTCTTGAGCTCTTTTTAACTGAGAAAGAAGCACCTTAAGCTCATCTTAACTGAAATTGTGTATGTGTTTAGCTGTCCTTTTAAACTGCCATGTAAATGTATTAACCTAGAACAACATACTTTTTGAACAGACACCCGACCACAGAGAACAGTCCCTATTTAATGCTTTTTGCTCCATTTATTGCAGTCCAAGATCCGTAGCTCCTCTGAGAGGTCGCCAGCACGGAGCACTGGGCAGAGTTCTTGGCAGGAAGCCAGCAATCCCAGATTCAGTCCCTTCTTCCTAAACCACTCCCCATCCCACAGGGTTTGGGACTGATACCAAGCGTTGATTTCTGATACCAAGTCAGACCTGCCTAAATGTGTGGGTCCTGACGCCACTGCATTTACAGATACTCACTCTTTTAGATCAATATTAAAGCAGGCTTCAACGTTCCAAGCGTATGAGACACCCTCAGGTTGTCTTTAGGCTTGTCATCTTTCTGCTACAACACCTTGTTTCTGGGAGCAAAGCTGGAGTGATTCTTCAAGAAGCAGTGTCCTGTGATAGGCTTTTAGCCATTCCTTGTCATTGCAGTTAGGTCTCTTAACAGATGAATCTTACTAGTGTAAAAAGCTACATACCAACCTTTTCTTTTTTCTTCAGAAGCTGCTGCAGCTATTAGCTGAGTAGACTCCTGTGTTCACCCAGAAAAAGCTACGTATTCTTAACAATTCAGTGCTGTAGACCTCCCTTGTAAGTATGGGAACACAGGTTATATAGCTCTGAAAGCACTGTTGTGATCTGTTTAGCTAAGGCAAAACCCAGCTGCTTTTGAGGGGAGCCACACTCTAGAATTGTTTGGGGTTTTTATTCACGTTTCAGTTTTTTGTTGTCCTATAATGATTTGATAGTGAGACATGCTTCAAAAATATCTGCATGTAATTAATTCTGTATGTGTTGAACACTGTCAGAGTGGAGCTGGGAGAATATTTGAATCCCAGTCACACAGAGTATGAAAAGGATAGCCATATATAATATACTGCAAATTGTGGGGTGGCAATGAATGTTGGGTTTTTTTCCATTCCAGCTAGCATGCATAATACATCCAGTAACGGGGTTATATCAGAAACCATGCATCTGGGCTGTCGTTCATGTAAGAGGGCCCACCATTTGAAATAGGATAGGAGTGTCACAGAAGATGATTGAAAAGATGGTGTGCCCTGTTTAACCAGTTTTAAATGACCTTCAATTCAGGACACTATTTAAGAACAGGTGCCTTTCCCTACACAGCTCTTTCTAATGGTGTCATGATATTAACCATTAATTAACTGGGTTTGTAGTGAACGAGGAGAAAAGCCATTTAAATTCTGGCCTTTGTTAAAAAGAGAGCGATTTGAGTAACCCCTTTTAAGATAACACAGCTTGGAACTTCTAGATGTTAGCTCTTTTTTGAAAGGGTCAAACAGCAGCAGTTCATCAGTGCTCAAGCTCATCAGGCAAGCGAAGGCTTGTGCACATTGCTTGGTTCAGATGTACTGAATCTGACGATTTCTCATTTTGCAATCAAGCAAATTTCATGAAAGTTAAGCAAAGCAAATGTTATAGAAGATACTTTTTCAACTGGAAGAGAAAAGCTGTGGTAGGTCATCTGTTCTCTCAGTGGACTGTCTTAACAGTTACTGCATGAGACAGCATAGGTAAATCTGATGGATTAACTCTGAATTTTACTTGCTCCAAGTTCTGCTTGGATGCTTATTTGTTACCTTGTGTACAGACAGCTTTTTGGTGCAAAAGCTGGCTTTTGCCAAATGAAGTGGAAGAGACATGAGAAGTGAGAGAGGACCAGCCCTGCTACATTTGGATGCTTTCATTCCACCGAATCGGATTGCTTCTCAGGCTTTTTCAGAACGTAACTCAAAATATGCAGCCAGGCAAAAGTTACTCTTAAGACATGCACAGCCCAAGAGTCTGAACTTGGAATTTGTGACTTAGGCTAAGAGTGACTCTACGCATCTCTTGTCTTCTCTGCAAGTCAATCTACCTCCTCTCTCTTGCAGAATGTGGTCAAGGTTTGGTTTGTTTGTTTTGAGCTTATTAGTGACTCCAAATTTTGAAGAGACATCTAAAAAGATTCTTCCTCTAGGTACTGTTAGCAACCAAGTAATAAAATCTTGATGGGCCTTCATCTGATAGAATTCTGAAACCTCCAAGCCATCTGAGCTCTCCCTCTAGAATCCCAATGCCATCCTTTGCACTGCTTTGCAGTCTTCCCTTGCCCTTCCCCCTGTGGTTCTCAAATATTGCAGTTGCCTTGTTCTTTGTTGTTTCTCTAGTGCAGATTATCAGGGAGTTAGAGGCCTTATCTACTACTCCACCCTATTTGCTGTTTTATTCGAACAGCTATCCTTAGACTTGCTCAGGATTTTCTTCATTTTAATTTTCCATTTCATCTGGGTGAGATACCTTACCTCATTGTGCCCCCACCAAAACACGCTGCCTACCAGGCTTTTCGTTCCACCAGGTCTCTGTTTTCACAGGGCATTGTTTCTCTGGATCCGTTCTGAGAAATGCAAGGTGGCATCTTAATTGTACAGGCGTAGAAGTGC